CGGCCGATTTCCGCCGTCCAGCATGCGACTTTCAGCGCCAAAGCGATGACGGACTGACCCGCCACCGCGCGGCAAGGCAGGCCACAGGCATCGACCTGACATCGCGGAAACTATCCGAAATGAAGTTTGCAAAGAGACGTGTCCGCATCTACTCCGCTGCCAGGCCCTGCAGGCGCCTGGAAAAAATCATGGAGCGAACGCTTGGTAGGTGAGGAATCTGTGCCCCACGAAAATACTGGCGCAGCTGCTCCTCAAGGTGGAAAGACCCCGCCGCCAACAGCACCTCTGCGCGACAAGAAGAAACGGGGCTCCTCGCGGATCCCGCATAACGCCAACGCTCCTGGCAGGTGGCTTTTCTCCTCCTTTTGTTATTTATAGATTGTTTTAATGATTTGTTGATTTGTTGCTTTACCGATTCTTGGAAACAATGGATTATTGAGCCACCACGCCAGTCCGGGGCGGATGCGTAAAAGGTGTTTATTTCACGCTCTTCGCTGTAGCGCCCTCACCGGGCCTGGCTCTCCTTCACACCTTTACTCAGCAGGGCCAAAGTGTTCTACGGTGGCGACTGGCGTGTGGATTATTGGATTTATTCCGGAGAAAACAAGGAAGAAAACAAAAAAGGTTTCCCATACAAAGTTCACCGTGGCGATAAACAATTTCCGTCTGATTTGTGCTCTAGAACGACCCGAACGCTGAAAAGAGTTCCAAAATAATCTCATTGACGTCATCAGCTCCACCACAACTCCTCCATGCTTCTGCAACGCAGTGGAAAGGACGATTCGCAGTGTCATTTTCCTTCTTTAAGGCAAAAAAAGACATTTTTTCGCTTTGATGCCTTCTCATTCAAAACCTTCTGTCATTGCTTTTGGATCGGGACTGCGCCCACCACGTTGTTGAGACTCGTTCCTGCCACGAGGCTGCACTTGAACCATTTTCTCCTTTCCTTTCCTCACGTAAACCGTAAGTTGCGTTGGAAAAGAAGTGCACTCTCGCAGTAATGAAGACAAAAAAAAACAAAACAAAAAAAAAACAAAAAACGAGTAAGCTGCTCAGAGAGCAACATCCCCCACAGGCGACTGCCACCAAACACGGCAAATGGATAAACAGAAAACACACGCACACAAAATTCCATACAACATACATATAAATATATACACACGCACACTGACCCACTCATGTATTATTTCCACTCCCATAAATGTATGTTATTATACCGTTTCTTTTTTCTTATTTTTTCCGTTGTGAGTTCGCAGGTGTTCTTGTTACAATCTTTTTTTGTTCTTTTCTCCTCCTTCCCCACCTCCAATTCGTTTCGGTTTCAGCCACCAAACACCGGCAGAATCAAAAGGAAGTAAAAGAAGAAAGAAGAGCCTCAAAGCGTTGGTAACACTGCCCGCCGCGTGTTACATAACAACCTCCGGCTCATGATAGCTCTGCAATATCGACTTATTTGGAAGGACCTTTATTCCATTTAGAAACAATTCGTCCTTCACCTCCACGTCCTCCCCCAGAACGGTATTGTTTACTACACGGCACCAGGAGCCAACCCTCGACTTCCAGCCAATAATGCTGGAGTCAACCAACGTCCCCTTACCGATGGTGCTTTCGTCGAGAATCGCAGAGTTTCGGATACGTGAGGTGGGACCGATAACACAGCCCGGCCCAATGGTTGCAAATGGCCCAATAACGCATCCTTTTCCAATTTTGGCGCTGGGGTCAATGATAACGGAACCAATGACGGTAAAATCATCAGTCTTATGCGCCTGACCAAACCCGTAGACTTCTTGTGACTCCTTCGGGGTCCCGTTGAGTGACCGGAGGTATTTTCCGACGCCCTCAATGTAATCCTTAGGAACGCCAATGTCCATCCAAAAACCCTCAAGAATAAACGCACAGAGCTGCTTGGCGCTTGCCATCTGTGGAAAAACCTGCGTTTCAATAGAAGTCTTCTCCACTTTAATTCGGTTAAGGACACTCTTGTTGAACACATAAATACCGGCGTTGATGCGGTCTCCCACAAAATTCTTTGGCTTCTCCACAAATTGATCAATAACTCCTGTTGCTTCATCAAAAACAACAACGCCGTACTTCTGCCAATCTGTCACCTTCGTCACGGCAATGGTGCCCTCCTTCCCACTCTTCTGGTGAAATGAAAGAAGTTCTCGCAGGGGAAATCGGCATGTGATATCAGCGTTCAAAACAAAAAAAGGCTGATCATCCTGTAAAAGAATATCACGCGCCAGAGCCAGTGGCCCCGCCGTTCCAAGGGGCTCCTCCTCCAGAGAAAAGACAAAAGAGACGCCAAGCTCCTTTGACCAATAGTCCATGTTTTTTCTCATCGCATCGGAGCGATACGCAACGGCAAGAATCACTTCCGTCACCCCCGCGTCTCGCAGTGCCTCTACTTGGTGTACGATTATTGGCTTGTTGCAAAACGGCACCAAAGGCTTTGGCATCGTTAGGGTGAGGGGACGCAGACGAGTCCCGTAACCCCCAACTAAAATGACAGCCCGCATCCCCTTGCTATTCGCAACAGATTTTTTCTCCTCGGACATTCCTTCTTGTTCCTTTTTTTCCTTTTTTCTCGTTTTAACGCTGTTTGCTGCTTCCGATGCATGAGTGGGACGCCAATACAAGCAGCAACAATGAAAAGTTGCACACACACACCCAATAACAAAAAAAAAAAAAAAAGTCAAAAAAAAAAAAAAAAAAAGAAAAAAAAACACAATAATAATAATAATAATAATAATAATAATAATGATTATTTGGATTCGTTTCTGTATGTAAGCAAGTGTGTGTGTGTGTGTGTGTGTGCGTGCAATTTTTTTTGGGAAAGGAGACCCTCCTGCTGCTCAGATTCTTGTTTGCCGGCGCCCTCAACGACGGTTTCGCTCTCGGGAACCCGATCCTCTTCCTCCACGATAGCTACGTCCTCCGCCTTTCCCACGGTTGTTACCGTAGCCTCCTCCCTGGTCTGCTGTCACTGGTTGTCTATTGGGCGCACCAACTGCTATGGCAGAATGCACACGAAGCGGTTGGAAACGCGGAGCCGCCTCTAGACCCAGACTGGTCTGATAGGGAACATCAGTTCGGTTCCTCTTGGAAAGAAATTCTTTCTTTAACTGCAGCACCTCTCCGCCAAGCGGCACGACACATTCTTCCGTCATGATGATGGCCCCATTTTTAATTTGTGTCCCCTCTTTAACAAGGAGCTTCTCCCCTGGAACAGGTATACCACGAAACACGCGAAGGGTAGTGAGCTCAATTGCCGGTATCTCCGAGTGTCCATCAGCG